CTACTTACAAAAATTTATTTTGTCATAATAATAAAAAATTGCCAGTGTATCAGTATTGATACTGAGTTTGATATCATATAATCATGACAGCCAAGGCTATCCTTCAGTTTCTCACCTTTTATAAATATAAATATTTATAAAGTGTGACACAAATTTGTATTTAGCATCCTTGACCTTCATATCATCTAAAAGCTGGAATAGCATGGATAGCATAACTAAAAACCAAACCAAAATATAACTGACAGACTGGGCAAATAGGGTAAAAATCAGAGAAACAGGCAAGAGCCCCACGTTAACTATGGTTAAAGAGTAAATTCTGTGAGAATCTGTTAACTGACAACTAGTCATGCATCCTCCAAGTGTGGGTTTTTATTAAAGCTTAGGAAGTACATATCTATTGTTAAAGTAACCAACAGAAAATCTTAGAGCCATAATTGCAGTTTGGTACAAGTCATGTTGAGACAAAAATCTTGAAAAAGCTGCTTTGTGGCTTTATATATAAAAGTAGGACAAACAACAGAAACGTCACAGCGACTTTCAAAGACTGCAAGATTACTAGCTGTGATTGAAGAAAAAGTTTAACTAAAAACAACTGACTCAGAGGGGCCAAACACAGACGTCCCTTTTAGATTTGTAGATTTTGAATGGGTATAAAACATATATTAAAACATTTTTTTTGGAAAGTTATAAAATATTATTTTAGAAAAGGATCAAATGTGGAAAACATTAAACGATGGTACTGCATCCACACTTGTGTCTTTATTGTTTAATTCCTCTTAAATATTCCTGTATCATACAACATAAAGATCAGAGAAACATAAGAAACATGCCTTATCTATTAGAAAAAGTCACCTACTACCATATTTTGAGACAAACAATTAAGATCAAACACCACTTCATTACTTAAAAAAACTCCTTAATATAAAACTCCAGCATTATCTTTAGATAATGGCTTGGCTATGTTCAGACCGCATGCGCTAGAGGCAGCAGAAATAGCTAGTTTACACTCAAAGTCAATGGTTGATGCGCATGAAGGCATGGCAAAAATTTCTGCAGCACGTTTTGAGCAGCAGGAGCAGCATGTGTAAGCAGCGCCTCACTACTTCTAAGCATCTTAGGCGGATGATGCACTGCGGAAGCAGCAGCTGCTTGAGCTGGAAAAATGTAACTTTAACTTTATCCACATTAAACAAATAGAGAAGCTGATCTGGGAGCTGGCAGGGAGACAGACACAGCGCTGCTGTTGCAGATCGCTATGATCACTCCTCTAAAACAGTTTATTAATGCCTAAATTAACTTAAAATGTTGAAACCGGTCAGCAAAATATGTTTGCTTTTATTATTCTGGTGCCTGCAGTTTGGATTACGTACATGAAAAACACCTTCCAGCCGCCACAAAAAGTAGAGGGCGACAGCGAAATAATATTTGAAGGCAGGATCGTAGTCTTGATAACCTGAGTGCATAGATGAAATTTTCAGGTTGACTTTCTCACCTAAAAACATATATAAACTACTTTTTATCCACTTATAACAGCAAATATAGCAAAGCCACTCTCTGCCATTAAGCATAGGAGCAGCAGAAGCATCAGATGCACACACTTTAATGTACGCGCTTCAGGAGCCTCAAGGATGCTCTTGACGTGCGTCTGACCTTAATGTGTACAAGCATCAAAAATGAAGCAGCAGAAGCTCTTTTGCTGCTTCCAGCGTGGTCTGAACATAGCATTAGGCGCAGCAACTTTATATAATCCATTAAATAATCAGCCTCACAAGTGCTACTGGACATAAAGGGGCGCATTATCCTGACAGCTTCCCATTTGTGTAAAACTCACATAAACAACTGCTTACAACAGATGGCACAGATAAGAGCTGTTCCTACAAACTGCCAACATCTTCAGGTAAGTCTGGTATTGTTGAAATGGTTATGTACAAGAAAAATGTTTTTCTGTTTGTAAATTATAAAATATTCAATGAGGATCTTTGTTTTACATTTAGAGTCTTACTCAAGGCAAAGTCAGATGAGTTTCATCACATTTGGTAGCGTTTTCAGAGGAGAGTCCTCTAGACAGGCCTTTATAGACTTACATTGACTAAGATCTCTAAAAACATACTTTATTAAACTTTACCAAGTGTTTATCTTTGATAATTTCCTTTTCTCCTTGTTAGTGTATGGTCAAAGTGAAATAGTTGTTTATCAGCAATATATATTTTTGTTAGATGTTTTTGCACATAGTTTGAATTGAACAACATCTTAGATGTCAGTACAAAGAAGAGAAAACAGATATCAGTTTTTGTTAAGGAGCAATTTCAATGAGCGCTAAAGCTAAATTAATATTTTTAGGACTAATCTAACATCAAATGGTTATTTTTGTCAAAGTAATAGAGGCATCTCATATATACACTTTAGAGGTAAGTCACTGGGGACACTTCACAGAGCTCCGCCCACAAATGCCTATTGGTGCCAAGCTAAAATGGAGACCTGCCTCCAGAAGGAATGTTTATCCAAGCTGAGCACAGAGCCTTATTGCTCAAAGAAGCATGAGTGGATTTCTGTTCTGCACAGCTCTGTACCATTTCAGCCAGAGACCTGCACAAAATGAGCCTTCTTTCACCCGTGATGATGAGAACAGCTCTTTTAAAGAGGCATAGCAGAGAGAAATTAACAGGGTGTGATGAAGCATAAAGTACACACACCAGAGTGAAGGATTTCAAGCACACTAAAAAAATCCCTGCATTCCTGTAAGGAGTATAGAGGAGCAGAATTCAAACAATGTTGCTTAAGATTAAATCTGTCAAATATATAAAAAAGAATAGGTAAGTGGTTAAAAAAAAAGTAGTAAACATTTAACAAAACACAAGGCATGTGTTCTGTTTGACAGAACCTTTGAAAAGAAAGAGCAACATTCCACAAGGACCAAGAAAGGGCCATAAAAAACTGGTGGAAACAATTTACATGCATTTGATTAGGGTAGAATTCAATCACTTTCCTTGGGCAGTTACGGCTCAATGGAAAGAGTAGTTCAATTCAATTTAATTCAGCTTCGTTATATAGCGCAGCTTCACAACAAATGTCATCTTGTGGCACTATACAGGGACAATTTAATCAGATCACAAAGTCAGATTGGGTTCTCTCTTAAGGAAAACCAGCTGATTGCACCGAGTCATTGACTTAGAGGATACGCTCCTCCTGGATGAGCATGTGGAAACAGGAGATATCTACATGCAATTTTGTCATTGACTCTACAGCAATCCCTCACAAGGAGCTTGCATGGAGCAGAAAACCTCCTTTTAAGTAGTTAGCTTATAAATAAAGAAATGTATTGTATGGACATTGCCTGTGTCCAAACATCCACCCTAACCCCTAAATCACTACATATAGTGGGAACTATAGTGGGAACTAAATAGTGGACTTTATAGTGAACCCCCGTTAACTGATCGTTCGGACATATGATCCTTTTCTTCACAAATTTTCAAGTGGCATTGTGGGAAATTTTAGAGTCCACTACTTTTTTCATTAATTAGGGCTGTGTCTGAATGTCTACCCTAATCACTATATAGGGAACTCTATAGTGGTTACACCATTTTAGATAAGCGTCCGTATGTCTAGTGGAGTAAAAACTGGTGGACTTGAAAAGTAGTGCTCATCCCTGGTCCCTATATGAGAAGATATACCTGTTGTCACAGTAGTCCGCTGGTGCTACCTGACAGTGGCGACAAATAATAAAGATGGCACAGTCACGTGGGTCATGTGACCAACAGGGAGCGAAAAGTATTGATCATCTGTCCAAACGGTCAGTTAACTGAGTTCACTATAAAGTCCACTATATAGCCACCGCCTCCATAGAGTAATTGAGGGATTTAGGGGTTAGGGTGGATGATCTAATATGGCGTAACCATTATATAGTCCCCTATATAGTGATTAGGGAAGCTATAATGCGCATTGGCAATGACCACAAATGTCATAAATCCTATATCAAGTCACTATGAAAACTGGGAGTGTAAAGGTTTCTTAAATGGTCTATATCAGTGTTTTTCAATCCTGTTCCTCAAGGCACCCTGCTCTGCATGTTTTGGATGTTTCTGAGGTTCAGCAAACCTGATTCAGATGATTGCAGTTCAGCAAAGCCTGATAATCTGCTATCAATTGATAACAGGTGTATGAAAGCTGGGAAACATCTAAAACATGCAGGGCAGGGTGCCTTGAGGACCAGGTTTGAAAAACACTGACCTACATTTATGTTGAAATACATGAGATTTTTTTCAGGTACCTAATCGATCATACTATCTTAATTTTACACTGAAATTAAATGTGGATCAAGAGATATTCCTAAAAACCAAAGTTATTGACACAATATCAGCTACTAAACAGAGATAGATGTTCTTAATATAAACCTTTCAGGTTGTTGTTTGTTGGAGACTTGAACAAATTTATTTGTTCAGTTTGAAGACAAATTCAGTAATCATGTAGGAACTTATCTTTATTGAAAAGTACAGTTAGAGCTCTATATGTTTCATTTAAATTTCAATATTTCTTTGAGTAAAATTTAACTGGATTTAGTAATGGATCTATTTTTCTAGTGCCTGCAAAAAACAACGACAAATTATATAGTAATCCCCTTTTCTTGATGATAATGAAACTGTGCATAAACATAAATTATTTCAGCCTGATCAATCATATGCCAATCTGTATTTTACAAGGTTATAATCTAATCTAATCTTGAGAAAACACGCAGTTTTGTTCTTTTTTTATTCCAGCTGTTTTTTTTTTATCCCCACTGAGAATCTAGACTAATATCTCTTTGTTTTTTTTTCAAACATAAAAAAAAGTTATACTGTGGGTGCGCTCCCTATGAAACACGGGCACCTTTACGCGTACTTTTACAGAAAATGAATTGTTGCTTACTTTGCTTAAACTTTTTCTTGGTGATAAAAACGACTTTCTTGATCCTTGTTTTTTTTTTTTTTTTTAGTTGTTGTAATTCGATATATCAGCAGCCTTACCCTGGATGTGCTGGTTCACCACGTTTTCCAGACGATCCAGTCGCTCCATGATCCGGAGAGTATCACCTTTCTTGTCCCCTTGCGACTGTCCCTCCGCTAAAGGCATGGGCACCTTGATGTAAATATTAGCGATGTAGTTAGTAACCCATCCGACATAGAGCAGGCAAACAATGTTGGTCATGCCACTCAGGATCACGCATGTGGACACCAAAGTTTTGGTTCTCCTGGTGCAAGCCATGCCGACATCCCTCCATGCAGCAATCTCCCTTCGGATCGAGGCACAGGACGACAATTTCCCTCACAATCCAGCACTAAAAAAAAAAAAAAAATAATAAATATCCTGCAAAAATAAAGTTATTCCTAGCGATTGCGCACTGATGCAAATTTCCAAACGCGGAGCGCCTGCTTTATAAGTACCGCATGTTTATGTATTACGCTGCTGAACGACAGGTAAGCGCAAACAAAAAAAGTCTACAGGTGAAGATCCCTCCTCTCCTCTGCTTCTCTCTCTCGCTCCACTGCGAAGCTCCGTGCGCACAGTTGCATTTGAGGTTGGAGAAAGCAGGAGGGATAGAGTTCATCCTGCTGCAGCCAATGAGAGTGAGGGAGAGGACAGACAGCCTCAGAGCCCAGATCTGATCGGCTCATTTTCACAATAACCTTATACTTCCTATTGAAAAATAAAAATCATCCACTTTTAAGCAACATTAATGGCCAATGCCCTTTTCAACTCCAAACTATAATAAGCCAATAATATTTATTTGTGGTGCATGGTGGTAAATGTAGTACATTCAGAGGCGAAGCTAGATGGGGGGACCAGGGGTGGCCATGGCCACCCCTATCCAAACATTGGCCACCCCTACATTTTTTTTTCTCTCAAGTAGAATATTCAAAACATTAAAATTTTATATATGTTACCAATTACTTGACAACACAAGCACTGTGGTTAATTATGCACATCAATATACCAACATTAGAGATTATTAGTACAGAATCCATCCTCTTTCAGAACTAGATTTTGTGTTATATGATTTAAAAATGATGTGTCTCTGCAAGTCATCTAAGAGTTTTCAGTGAAATCATAGATACTGTATATAACTATTTTAATAAAAACTGATAAAATTATCAATTTATGTAGATATTAGTACTTGTAAATATAAATTTAATGAAGAATGATATTAATAAAATTAGGTAAGTAATGACGATGGAAAAGATGTTCGCTCCAGAACTCAAACCTCGAAGAATTTTATCCAATATACCTTTTATCTAGACAGATTTTTAAATATATGCATCTGTTTGTTAGCAAGGCTGTATGAAACTATAGTTTGCCTTTATTTAGAAAGATGGACGTTGTGTGGTTCCTGTTGGAACAGTGTAGATTGACCCTGAGGTTCTGGTGCCTACGCCCTTTTGGCTACCCCTCAGTATATATTGGTTATTGCCTGTGCACCCTTTTAAAAAAAAATTTCTATGCCTCTTGGTACATTTATTTGTATTGCTCCAACGTTCACGAACAAACCGTCAAGGAAATTAATAAAAAAAAAAAAATTATTCTAATGATTACTGAATCTGTGAACCTAGATCAGATTACAGAATAAAGCCAGTGAGGCAAAGGATAAGTAGAGTAAGGCTGAAAAAATGTATCTGATTAATCCCGATTAATCGATTATTGAAATAATCCTCAACTAATTTAGTAATCGATGGAGTGTAGAAACTAAAACATGCCTTTCCTTTAGCTGACAGAGTAAACCACTTAGAGCAGTAGTTATATCAAAATTGTTAAAAAAATATGCCAACATTTTGCATTTAATATATAAAAAACTTTTTGTCTGTCTATATGATCAATCCAGAACTCCTCAATCAGAAACATTTTAGTTTCACCTGGTTTAATTCAGTAAAAATTCCTCTAAAAGGAACCTTTAACTATCCGATTATAAATCAATTAATCGAAAATATAATCTACAGATTAATCAATTTGCAAAATAATTGTTAGTTGCAGCTCTAAATCAGAGGCTGTGTGCTATAGTTATCTGGCTGCATGAATGGGGATGCTGCTGTGAACAGAGTTCAGACAGTTGCATAATGTGACCTTAACCTTTAAGCAACTTGATCTTTGCTGCATTGTGCACCCTTCTTCACACTTTCTAATATTAATAGAAAATCTCTTCGGTATCCTACATTTTTTAGCCATTCGATAATGGTTGCCACATCACAAGAAAAAGGGACCCTTAACCATCCCTGAAGATTTTGCACATATTCTTTATACTGTGACCTTATTCTAATGTTACTGAGAGCTTAAGATTTCCATTGCTGCTTAGACTTTAATTCAAAGCCTTCCTAGCGGGCATTGCCTCTCCCCAGGTTGTGTGATTTACAGTTTTGTTGTAGATAAAATTCTATGAAGCAGACTCTAAATGGCAAGGATTTACATTTCTATGCAGAACTTGGCTCAATAAGACTGTCTCTTCTGTTTGTTGACAAAAGCTTCAATTATTTTCTGACAGCAGTTTCTAGTATGTTTGACAGATTACTATTTCTAATAACAGCCCCTTTATAACCAATCTGCCAGACTGCTTTAACACAGCAGGCTGCCAGAGTGAAATTATGAAATCCACTATCACAATCATTTCTACCACCAAGAGCATATTGTGACACTTGATTTCCAATATGTTTTTATGAATATGACTCATCGAATGTTAGTTGTAGAATTATAGTCAAAGGAAATTGAGCTAATGTTGACAAATTTCTTACTGTGCAGAAATACTCAGCTCACTGACATTTCTCTAGGTATTTTCAACAAAGTTTTCAATCTTGTAGCATTGATCTGTACACTAAGACTCTGCAAGTGACCCATTGCAGTTACCGAAGGAAGTAACCTTTTATTTAACAGTAACTAAAACTGCAGGAACATAAATATTTTCAACAACCAAGACAGACTTTAAGAGATATACTGTAGCACAGCTGACACTAAATCATTTGTTGTTGTCCTGTTACTGTATGTACAATCAGTAGCATTGTAGCAGAGATAACTGCAGTTAAAGAATCATCTACATATTGAGCCTTTGCTGTTAAATTCATCATGCATCATTGTTGATGTTTTTAGACAAGTTTCTCATTTTGAACTATCATGGCAGCCATTTTTGTTGGTTTTTGCTTAGAACTTCCTTGAGCGTCTTGGAGAGCTGGAGATTTAATGGTTTATGGTCTGAGTTGTGGCTGCAGACAGCAACTCTAAACTAACTTTGACTTATGTTTAAATACAATTTTAGTGTTTTACCTGATCTTGCTAATTAAATATAAATTATCCCTTGGATCCATAAAAGGGTCTACAGGCCTTTAAAGGTCTTCAGTTTAATATCATCAAAAAAAACCCAGCAGCCTTAAAAAGATTTGTAAAACCTTTTTCTCGCTTATGTTTCTTTGCTTATTAAGGTTTTTCTGCTGAGAACAACCACAAAAAGTAGCCATTAATATACATTAATGTTACACATATTAAAATAATGTTAAACATGTTAAAATTTAAAATGAGGTCGTCAAACCCCAGTTGGTCATTAGCCAGGTTTGGCTAGAGGTGTCCCCCTGCTAAGTTTCCCTCTCTGTTGTGACTACATGCGTCATTTGAAAAATGTTTAATTAGATTTGCTAACATTGTTTAACTTAGAAATGATGATTAGTTTTAATAAAAACATCTAAATTTTTCAAACTGTTTACCTTTCCACTAAATTTCTTTTTCTACCTTTACTGCATTTTGGGAAGCAAGTTGATTGTAAAATGTAATGTGTTAAGAGATTAAATAAAGAATAATTTGTTGCTATTGTTGATATTCGGTCAGTCTTTTAGTGTATTTTGTGGTGGTATAACGAGTCATGACTCGTGCTCCAATTTTAGTTGTTTTGTTGACCTTCTAAAACACCTTAGTCAAAAGATAATTATCCCTGTTTCATACTTTTCCATTGGACATCTAAGGACTGCCCTAGTCCTTTGTATTATGGCTATATGATGTAGTGCTAGGTAGTCGGTCATTCATCTCAGCTAACAGAGCTGCCAAAATAAAAAAAGGTCATTTCATGAGTTTGCTCTATGTGAAGGGATTTTCTATTGCTAGGAACATGGGTGTGATGAAAAAGCATTTACCCCCTTCTATTCACTTGCTTTCCTCTTTCTTAGAGCATTTGATTCATCTGAAGATCAATAAATTGTTTGTGGGATTTTGAGAAGTTGCTATGAACAAGTTGCATAAACATACTTTGAATCAGGGAAAACATCAGATTAAACCTATAAAGTTCTGTAATATGCTATACAAAATTTAATTCTTTGCATATGTGGGCATAATTATGCATATAAACGTACTGTAATAAAGATTTGCAAACATGCTGCAAATACATAAATGCTCAGCAAATACAAAAAGTAGGGGAGACTGGGAAAGGTTGCGATTTGTTTCATTTCTCCTCTTTAGTCCAAGACCACTTATATATTAAACTTACACCTGTCTACCAATGGCCTATATCATTTAAATATGAAGACATTAAATTAATTTTTTATATATTATATAAAAAAATATTTACTGTTGCAAACAACCCAAACTCTTGGACTGTGGCAACATATCTCAAGGACAGTTGCAGCATGTCATATATTGCTTAAATTTCTGATTTAGTTTTAAGTCCCAATAAACATATTATTTTACAGATTTGTATTGTTTATAAGGCATGATTAATAAATAAAATGCTACCTTGGGCTCCCTGAAGAGTGCATGTGGTGCAGACATCCTAAAATTAAACAGTGGCATTTAAAATGTTTTTTAAATACTGATTTAATTAAACACCCTAAATTACCACAGCAAAGAAACGGTTAAGAATTTCATGACATCTCAAATGCGAGTTTAAAACAGAAAAATTATTCTTTTCACAAAATCATTTTTAAGAGCAAAGACATCTTAATGATAATCTGACAGCCCGTTCCCTCCCCCATCAGTCAGATTCAGTTGACTGCATGAGCCAGAGCCTTACACATCCTGCACTGCAGCAATTCATTATTAGAGTATGAGAAGCATTCCAGCTAAAAGAATAGCACGTTAGTGAGACACACAGATTTTAGCAAATGGTGACTATGCAACTTCAAAGTAAAGTAAACAGTTATTCAGTGAAAGCTATAATTAAATCTATAGCTATCTCTCACATGGAGCATGCATGCAGCAACAGTGTGAGCGGCACTTTTCAGAGTCCGTCTGGGGATTCAAGTAGACAGGAGGAGACATATAAAAGGAACATAGAAGCACTGATCCATAAACACTTTCTATGTGAGCAAAGTAGCTTTAAACTAGCTCAATAGGGGATCTGTCAAGGAAACAAACAGTTCAGCAGATAATTTATGCTTTGGTTTTCATTTTGAAAGGGATTAAAAAGCACCTACAGATACACAGAGTGAAAGCTAAGCAAATGGCTATGTCTAGAAGAGAAACAAGAGTAAACACTGAAAAAGAGGCAGATCATCTATCTTTATCTGTCTATG